CCTTTTAATGGGACCAACTACAACATAGGATCAGAGCCTTCAGGAATCTTCACACCTAACTTGAACTTCATAACACTGGAGGAAGGTTTTTGGCATGATTATTATTGTTACGCTTTATTTATAGCCAGGAAGTTTAATTTGTTTCATTTACAGAAGGAATACCCAGTTTCTGTTTTAGGTAAATTCATGTAAATAAGCACATGAGCTGATTTAAAGAAAAATACTGATTGAACAATATTTCCCATGGTGTGTACATGTGGAAGAAACAGTGGAATCAGATGAGAGAGAGAGATGTTTGCAGCTGCTCCGTCCCTGAAGACAGGAGTTCCCAGGGTGGGACACATCAGTTCCATCTTCTCCACTAACAACTCATGGGACCTCCAGGAATGGAAACCACAAGCAAAACAGACTTTCAAACAAACTAAAGGAAGATGTAAGATGTGCAATTTTTTTTTTTTTGAGATGGAGTCTCGCTCTGCAGTTCAGGCTGGAGTGCAGTGTAGTGGTGTGATCTTGGCTCACTGCAGCCTCCGCCTCCTGGGTTAAAGCAATTCTCCTGCTTCAGCCTCCTGAATAGCTGGGATTACAGGCACCCACCACCAAGCCTGGCTAATTTTTGTATATTTAGTAGAGATGAGGTTTCACCATCTTGATCAGGCTGGTCTTGAACTCTTGACCTCAGGCGATCCACCCACCTCGGCCTCCCAAAGTACTGGGATTACAGGCATGAGCCACTGCACCTGGCCAAGATGTGTAAAATTAAAACACACACACACACACACACACACACTCTTATACTTTTCAATCTCCCTCTTACACACAGACACACACTCACACATCTTTTCAAAGTGGAAATATGTCTGCAGTAATGCCCTGGGTGATTCATCGCTGAAACACATTATCCCAGTTCAGGAATAATGTTACCACAGTGAATTTAATGTCATTTCTTGTCATAACCATCCAGCAACCTCACATTGACACAGGCCATGGCAAGTTTTTGAAGGCTCCTGCATGGGTTAAGCCTCTGTGGATCTGATGGTCTGGTTCCTGTTTGACAGCTAAGAACCTAGAGTTCTGTGAAGCAAAAGAACTTGGCAAAAGCCACACTGAGTTAGGACCAGATCTCCGCATGCCCAACCCCAATGTGGCTTCTCTTTCCACTGTCCCATCCACACATTTTAAGAAGATGGTAAGACTGTCTCTGGCTCCTGTCCTTGTCCATTGCTGTATTATCATGCCTCCTGGGAACATCACTCTGAATATAAAGAGATACAAACAGGTGATCTCAACCACAATTTAGAGAGAAGTAAACTTAGGTTACTGAAAATGCACATTTGCCTTAGACGCAAAAATGAATGACATGATTTTTTCTTCAGTGTTTCAGGAGAATGAAGCTATTGACAAAATGATACAATGAAAATAAACAGAATTGCACAATTATATCCATGTAGTCACACAATCAAGGGAGAATATTGTTATTTTTCTTTGATTCCCTCAAGCAATAGAAAGCCATTCTGTCTCTCTTATGAGAAAGAAAATGTATAGGAAGGAAATTGCTTGGCTTTGAGAATGACAGGAAAGGCTGGAAAGCCTTGGCTACCAAAGGGGCAGCCCCAGAACACATCACATAGGTGTCAGGATAGCACCAAGAAGAGATGGTCAGATTCAGCAGACCTGGCACTGACAGCAGAGGACATTCATCAGTCATCACCTGTTCCCAGAGGCCACACTAACCGCTGTACCTGGCGGTATCTGGCAGCTATTTCCATCAACAGCGGCTACACATTCCCTGTGGACCAGTAGTGGGGACCATGTCTGCCATGAAGTTTCTGCTAAGTTTCATGTTTCATATAAAAATATGCACATACAAACAGGCGCACACACACAAACACACATGCACATACAGACATGCACATACATGCGTTAAGGCCCTCAATGCACATTACAGACGGCGATGTATACTCCTGAAAATTAATAGGCAAGACAACAACACTAATAACAAATCATCGTTTAGCCACTTACTATAAAATGAGCTGCTTCCTCACCCCCATAAATAGCATCTGCATACCTGAGTCTTATTTATTTCTTCATATCTGTTCAGTTATTTTTAGAATAAAAAGTGAAGATAGTGTTACTCTATACCAATGGTCCGCGTAATGCTGCATGGGCCAAAGCATAACCTCCAAGTTTTGTCTGTCTGGTGAATTACGACGAAAGTTTGTTTTTCTTTGTTTTGTCTTTTACGTTTTTAAATAATTATAAAAATAAACAGAATTTAGTGTGTGGTGTGAAAAATACTTGAAGTTTACATTTCAGTGCCTATAAATAGAGTTTTATAGTAAAACATTTCTAATCATTTGCCTGCATATAGTCTGTAGCCCTCTTACAAAAATAACCCAAAGTCTAGTCTAATCATGAGGAAATTGGAAATTGGAAATGCTCCCAAAAGAGGGGCATTCTCCAACATCTGACCACCATTTCTCAAAACCATCAAGATCATTTGAAACAAGGAGAGACTGAGAAATTGCCAGAGACCAGAGGAAACTAAGCAAATACGACAGTTAAGCAATTTGGCATCTTGGTTTCTATTAATTAAATAGTTAACTATATGTTCTATTAACTATTTAACTAATATAACAAAAAGAGGAATAAGGAACAGAAAGAAAACATTAATAGGAAAACTGGCAATATCCCAGTACAATCTGGAGTTTGGTGGATAGTCATGCCTCAGTGTTGGGTCATTAGTTTGAAAAAGCATACCACGGTCATGTAGAATGTTAATAAAAGGGGAAAACAGATAAGATGTATAAGGAAACATTCTATACCATCTTTGCAACTTCTCTTTAAATTTAAAATTATTCCAAAATAAAAAAGCTTTCTAAAAAGTAGAATGGAGGATTTTAATTCTAAGGGAAAGGAAAATTATCCATGTATCTGAAGAACATGGAAGTCAGCGTGAGCTTGTTTCTGGGGGATTATCTTCTCAGATGAAAACGGGCCACTAGGTAGTGGGAGGTGGCAGGTCCTGAGGCTTCACACAGATCCGCAGACTGAGTTCCTTAGGGGGTTTCATAGGAGATCCTTTGAAGAAGTGGTGCTCTGCATTAGATACGTCGAAACTTGTGGAAAAGATGAGGATACTGAGGAAAACCACCAATGCAATCCACAATCCAATCCCTTGACAGTCTGCAACTGCACAAAAAAGGAAAAGCAAAGACATAATAATTAATGTAATGTATACAAACTGATGTCTACCCATCACTTCCCAAAACTGCTTTCACCAACAGTGAAAACTCAAGTACAGTGTATTCCCCAATGACTTCTATCAGACCCTGTATAAAGGGAGACGTTGGATTCACCATTGACTAGTGGATACTGTGGCTCAACAGTCTCCATCTCTGAAACTGTCGATTCTTCCGCTTCTTAAAGGAAAGAAAAACGGGAATCAATATGGTTTGTGTGTAAACCTTACCCACAGTAAGTTGCCCATCAGCCCAAACCGTTTTTGACATCCAGCCTGTGGAATGTGGCATGCTGACACTTGAGAACCTTTTGCTTATTTCCATCGTCCCTTCATGTTTCATCTACTTGGGAAGCCTGTCAAGGAGACGTTCAGATATCTCCATCATTTCCGTGAAAATGAGAATAATGCTGTGGTAGAGCATTTACACTTCTATAATCTTCCGTTCCATAAAAATGAAAAGTCATGCCTCATAGATGCTACTGAGGGTCTAAAGATTAAAACTCAAGCATATTAACTGCAGTATCACTTATAATATTAAACCAAATAAACAGCAAATATACGGTGGCCATGTCCCTGAATTTGAATCTGATATTTACAAACTGAACCCTCCTGAGCAAGCTGCCTTATCTTCCTACAGTTCAATGTTCCTCACTTAAGACATGAGGTAACAATAGATTCTATCTCACGGGGTGATTGTGGGCAACATATGAGTTCCTATGCCAAAGCACTCAGAAGAGTTATTGCCATGTATAAATAATACATATCCCCCTGCTATTGCCTTTATTAATAATTAGTCTTAAATGCAAATTAATAAGGGATTGCATGAATAAATCAGGATGCACTCGTAAAGTGTGAATTTCTAATTCATCATATAAGAACTTATTGTATGGAAATAATCAAACATTTTGGAAAGAGATATACGTGCCAAGATGTTCATGGTAAGCATTATTTATGACAGCAAGAAGCCTTTGAAAGCAACCTGAATATCCACCATGAAAATGATTAAATAAATATGGTTCAGACATGCTATAAATATGATATTAAATCACCATCAGAACCATGAGTTGAAGATAATATAATGTCACGGGAAGCATTTGCAATGTGTTATATGAAACAGCATATATAAAATAGTATTTAACCCAAACTAATAAATTCCTTACACAAGTGTACATGCATATATGTAAAATATATAAAGTATATCTAATTATATCATACATATTTGTTATTTTGAGGGGATATTCAGCAACATTTCTAATCAGAAACGTGATCCTATAGATGGGGCAGGGTCCAGATAAAAATGAAAAGAGGCAGTCATGCCTTGGGAGATCATTCTCAGAAGAATTAAATATCTGCTCAAACTTATAATGTATTTGAAAAAGTAAAGCGATGCAGCAGCATCATTAATGAAGAATCTGGGAAAAATCCAATGTCATGTTTAGTTGGTTTATTTCCCCCTGTACGAGTGGCCAGGTACCTTTCCGGCAAATTTATTCACAAAGAGGTTCAGATTGAAAAGCGGGGCTCCCGCAGGCTCAGCAGCCTGTGCAGTGTGATCCTTCCGCCAGCGTCAGAAGGTATACAGGTGAACACATGCAGGTTTGGGTTGAGATTTTCAGGTTTTATCTTCTCCCCAAATCCAGGAGGAGCCCAAGGAAAGATTAAAATTCTGATTGCTTTCCAGATACGGAAAAAAGAAATTAAAGGCAAAGCGTGAACAGTCTTTCTTTCCATCACAAATGGGTTTCTCATCTTCATCTTTTATGTAGATATTTTTATACCTTTGGATGCATACAAAATTTAAGAATGCAGGGTTTTTTAAAATTTATTTCAGTTTTGTGGCAAAATCTTCCACTTACGTGAAATAGCTGAAGTAAAATGCTATGCAAATGTTATCTGAAAGGGTCTATGGAAAGCCATAAACATCAGTTGCCAGGGTCTCACTTTGTCCAAGGGCCAGATCGCAACAAAATATATCTGACTTAGAAATACATATTGAATTTTATAAACCCGCCAAAATATGTCTTGAGGAATACCTGTTAGCGGGACGAGCCAACACCTCTCTCTTGAATCCAAAAGTCAAAAGGTTGTATGATCCTTTCTTTCCCATCAGCACAGGAAGTGACTACTGCAACCCACATTCTGAGTGTGAAATGAGGCCTTGTTCCGTTTCCTGATTTCCAACACTGTTTTTCAGCACCCAGCTGAATAAAGTACGTCCTGGGAAGACAGAATAAGAAAGTCTTAATGAGGCCCAGCTCGACAGGGCTTCTCATTATTGGCCTGCTTACGAGCTGCAGAGAGAATCAAGCATCGAGGCTCAGAGAAAGACAGAGTGAATCAGTGAGGCTTGCCAGAGAAGTGCAGTGGGAGAAGCTTCCTCCAGCCCGGCGGTGCCAAGGGAAGCTGGCTCCAGAGAAGCCTCAAAGCGCTTCAGGGGAAAGCTAATGGCCCGTTGGAAGGAAGCCACTCCCAGGGTCTTGCAAACCCTGGCAGGAGACGGTGGCCCACAGCACTTCCACAGACCTAACCGCCTCAATTTTAGCTGTGCTTGGAACACATACATCATCCCTGGAAATGTGCCTCTGTCAGGATGGAGGAAGGAAGCCCTGAATCCAAACGCTCAGGCAGTGTGACAGGTTCCCTGATACGACCCGCAGACTTGAAGGCCTGCCATCTCCTGGCCACATCTCTATAATGCTAATTACCCGCTGCGCGGCCAATGGGGAAAGAATTCATGGCATTTCCACAGCTGAGGCCATTCCTATAGCATACACAGCAGACAACTCAGGCACAGAGAACCAAGCGCAGGAGGAGGTCTCCTTCCAATAGGCCACCTGGCCAGACTTCCAAAAACCTCCAGCAAGTTCAATGCCTGATTAAATACCCAAACGTAGCCACGAGGCATCGCTGACAATACTCTCCTGTGTCCATGGTCTTGTGTGCCAAGAGCTTGAAAGAACCTTGGTAAGGAAACTGATACTCATCCAGGGCGGTGGCGTTGATGGCACCGCTTAGGGTGAAGGAAAGGGCCAAAGGTCCCCTCCTCCTCTTCTAACCAGGCTTGTAGGAAATATTGGTTTATGGTTTATTGACACACCTTCCTCTGTGCTGTTTTCATGGGTTTTACTGACTCGTTGCTCAGCCTGGAACCCCCTCCACCAGGATGTGTGCAGAGATGCAGCCCCTTGTCAGGCTTCCTCAGCCCCCGTCATCTGCCCATCTCCGGCGGATACCACCACGACTTTTCCATAGACGGAATTCCCAGAAAACAGGTCTTGTTCTCGCTTCTAGTCCAATTCTCCCCAGAAAAGGTCACATTTCTGACAAGACTCGTTTCTGAAAGGCCCCTATGCGGCTGTCAACTGCCAGTTTGTCCTGGGGCCCCAGATACTTCTTCCACTGTGTATGCCTCAGACATGCATTTCCCGGCTCTCTCCCACTGGCTCTCAGTAGGTTCCTTCAATTGGCAGGCACTGGTGCAAGGCTGGAGGACAGGAAGAAGGAAGAACTCGAGTAGCTGTTTTTCTTCCTGCTTCTAGCAACATTTTCTGCTAATGGCTTTGTCTTCTCTGTGGTTCCAGCTCCATAGCCCCCTTACCTTCTTCTCAGATACCCCGGCAACATCACCCAGGACGGCTGCCGGTTCTAACTTCCACCAGTGGGCCCAGCACCTGGGCACCAGCAATATCACCTCTTCCCTCTGTCCCTGCAACCGTAGGAGTGCTAACAGCTTCTTGCAACTCTTAACCTCTGCATTATTTTCTCAACAAACATTCAGCCTTTTTT